ATTGGCCCTGACCTTGCTGGCCTTTCATAAAGCATTGAAGATCAGGATGCGGTCCAGGGCCTGGGGGTTGGGCGGTCAGATGGTCCATTGAGAGGTTTTTGTTGATTGTTCCGTTTGGGTTTATCTTCAGTGACCACTGTAGGTTTTTACTCTTCATTAATACTGTTTTTTATTGCTTTTACTTGTGGTTAACTGCCCAGAGTCATATTTGCGAGATGGGTGGTCATATACATCTATTGGGGGCAGAGAATATATCACTTTCTTATTGTAGCCACACATTGGTTGACCTTTTTACTGAGATATCATGCCCCGAGATTCCTTTCCTGGTTGGGGGAGATTGGTGGCATACAAATTTAATTAATTAATTAAGGTCAAGAGCAAATTTTAATTTCATATGTTAATAGTTCAATAGTTCATTCAATAGTTAATGTTGGTCAGCTTCTTTAATAGTTCATTCTTGACTAAGTATTGTAGAAATTGCATATATACTCTTCTGTTCAATTCTCAGATTGTTCAGTTTGGAATGAATGAAAAAGTTGGGCAAATTTCATTTGATCTTCCTCGGCAAGGAGACATGGTGTTAGAAAAGCCCTACAGTGAAGCAACTGCAAGATTGATAGATGAAGAAGTGCGAATACTTATTAATGCAGCTTATGAAAGGACACTATCTCTCCTTACTGAAAAGAAGGCTGAGGTGGAAAAGGTATATGCTCATGTCTTACCATTATCAGGAGGGGCATAAGTTACTTACATAAGTAGGTTAAAAGAGTGTTGCTGAGTTGGGTCCAAACCTGATTCTCTGAGAACATAAGGGCTCCTTTCAGTTGATCAAAGGAATGGGGATAATCATTTCTTCTAATTCCTTTTTCCTTCCAGATTCCAGCATTACTTGATTCCCAGGAATTATTATTTCAGGGTGTAGCTACAAGGACAGAAATAAGTGAAAATTGCCTGCCTCCAATATGAAATTAAGCTAATAGAGTTTTACTAGCCTCTGTGTATCAGAAAGATCTGTTTCTATGGAATACATCATGTTATTTGTTCTAAAGTAGAGCTATACAAAAATAATAACCGTAATCACTTTCCAAAATCTTTGAAAGCAACAAAAATGCATTTCTGAACATCTCATTAATACAAGTTTTAGTCATAACAGAACAAAAGCTATGCATTTTGTTTTGGAAAGCTTGCAAGTAGGATACAGGGATGCAGAGTTTATCCTGCATAATCTCACTTGGAAGGCCTTGTAGTAAGTAGTACTGTAATGGTGCTCAGAACATGTTCAGCAGAGATTAACATTTTAAAAAATCTGGAATTTCTTACATGTATAAGCACTATATTAAGATAGTAGAGTGAAAAATTAGAGACCAGGTTTCCTTGTAATATACGTGTGCTTATTGTTTCAGGTGGCTTTAAGGCTCTTAGAGAAGGAGGTTTTGGATAAGAGTGATATGGTTGAAATGCTTGGCCCCCGGCCATTTGCTGAAAAATCTACGTACGAAGAATTTGTTGAGGGCACAGGCAGCTTAGATGAAGATACTTCACTTCCAGAAGGCCTTAAAGACTGGAACAAAGATCGTGAGGAGAAAGAAGAGGCAACAGATGAGGGGACTGCCAGGCAAATCACAAGACATGTGCCTTTTTAGTGTTGCAGTATGGTGTTGTACATAAAAGTAACACAGTGTTTATGTTGTACACTGAAAAGTAAAGGGGAAACACTTCAAAAATCTGGTCTCCAAGTATCCTCTGCTTTATGGAAGAAGCCTGCCACAGTTGATGAGCCAGAAGGGTGGGTTTTTCCCTCTACAGAGTATTCTGAATCCATGGGAAGCTGTTTCCCAAATTCGTGATAAAAAGTATAGATCTTAGAATTAATGGGTCTGCATTGAACCTCCTCTAGAGTTGCAGCTCTTCAGACCCGTTATCACAGTTGTGTAACCTGATATATTTAAGCTGCCCTAGAATGTGAAACTTCCCAGAACACCTAAAAAAAAAAAATCTTATTTGTCTGATCTACCAAATGTGAGTGGTCAATATTCTGAAATTGTGTTGCTTTTGGTTATAGCAGAGTATTTACTGGGAGCCCACATCACTTATGACACTTCTGTTTTGTGGAAGCACATAGTTTTCAACCACCAATTTAAATTTATTTCTTTACCTTGTCATCCATAAAAAAAAAAAACCTGCAGGTATTAGTGATCAAACTTGGAAACCTGCTAAAGAGCTTATTCATTAGAGTTATGGATCTGTGGCTACAATGAAGTGTAAAATCTAAATTATATTACTGCAATTTTAATAAAGCTTGGATTTTTTTCTACATGAGATTGTAAAATACTGAACATATGAATGTATTTTGTAAATACAGTTTAGAAACATCAAATAAAATCAGCACACTGGACTGTGCAAACAGGCAGATTTTCTTGGATCCTTGGGCTGGTTATGAGACCATACAACCAGTTGTTAGAGCTGTAATAACTACAAATATATAGACATAGAGGATACATGGTAACTTTTTGAAGAAGGCTAGTGGTCCCACAGGCATGCTAATAGAGGCACTGAGATGACAAAAATCAAAATTCAGCATGTACCAGCTAAGTAAAATAAGATGAAAAATAACATCAAGTAGTCTGCTTCATACCGTTATCTACATACTAAGTAGAATCATCATATGAGCTCGTACACACACACACATGATACTGATCTTCCTGTTCGGAACCAGAGGTAGATTGCACAAGCAAGAAAGGATGGATGGACCATTCATTATCCTGTCATTATTAGCAATGGGCATGCAAGAGCAAGGAATAGGAAGAGCTGGAGTTCCTATTACAGATTAGTAGTTGGATAAGAACAGAATGCAGATGAGCAGCTCAAAATGAAAAGGAAAAAAAATGGGGATCCCTGGGAAGAAAGGTCCTCTAACTTGCTCATAAATGACGTAGTAAGCATGAAGAAGCTATAGCTGCTACCGCTGCAGAAGTATCTAAGGCAGTGAAAAGGAGATAGAGAAGAGTTCCCAATGCATCAAATTGAAAATGGGCATTAAAACAAATGGAAGCAACTACCAAAGGAAGTACATTGGGGCAAAATCTTTAGCTTCATGGTACATTATGAACTTCTTGTAACAAAACTAGGATAGTAAGATTGTGGAAAATAGATCCATGAAAAATCCAATCCGCTTTGTGGCTGTATAAAAGGAAAGGCCATGTCAGAGATCTTTAAGGAAGAAATTATAAATGCAGCTGCTAATGGTACATTATCTAGATTGTGATAGCTAACACAAGCATCAAGGACTGAATAGCTAGGCAGCTGTTAATAAGAGGCTTGAGAGGACCCATTCTTCATCCTGTGAATCATTAAGCTCCTGTAGTAGCTATTTATTTCACATGCACACACTTGGACATGCTTCTTTGCAGACTGGAATGGGAGTTCAGCTGGAAAGTGCTTTGTTTCACTTGATGCTGCTTAACTGTCATACTATCTAATCCAAAATGTCCAAAGTCAGCATAGGTCAGGCATAGCATTTAGGAAAATCAAGCATGGCAGATGGCTGCAATAGACTGGAATTCTTGTGGAATGTGCTGACATCTACTCAGACATCTAACGTGTCTGGTCGGTCCACGTGATGGGGATTATCCAAGTGAATGACTGGTGCCATGCTTGCTGGCACTACACTCCAAAAAGGTGGGTAGAGCTAAAGGCAAAGTTGTTGGAGCCAAAACAAGAACTGCATGTGAATTCATTTGCATTTCAGTGTAATAAAATTACATTTACTGTAGTTACACCCTATGCAATGTATTTAATGCTTTCTTTCTATCACATATAAAGTGGAAAATTGGTAACAATGTTTGGAAGAATTCTGGGAGCTTTGTAGGGTACATGTGGACCTGGAGCCTCAGAAAATGCCTCATTTGTATCATCAGATTTAAGGCTTCAGTTTCCCAAAGAATCATCCACTTCATCAGAGGTTACTTTTTTAAAGATTTCAAAACACCAGTGTTGAAGAAAGATTTCAAAATACCAGTGTTGAAGAATCAGTTTATAAACATGGAATATACAGAAGACTAAATTACATTTTAAAATTATTTTTTAATTAATGGAGTTTGTTCCCAACAACTCTACTGAATACTCGGTACAAAAGAACAGAGACTCAGTAACACTGCAATTCTGAAACACAGTTACTTGGATATAAATCCCACTCAGAATCAGAAACATTTACTTTCAAGTAACAATGCATAGGACTGCAGTGTAAATTAATTGTTTAGATTCACAGTTGGGGGTGGGGAAACAATACAACCCTTTCTTAAAAATCTGCATTCCTTTCGAGGAGCTGGATACAATTACTTATTTCAGTACATCCTTTATCTTATTTATGTGCATTAACACTAAGCCAAAATAAATGGTGCGCTCATAAGCCTATTAAGTCTAGTGCCTACATTTTATAACTGGGGCACCTATGTAATTTAGACATTAGATTTAATAGGCTTATGACCCCACTTTAAAATGGGCAAGAGTCTAACTTCACTGTTTCAAAATAGGTTCAGCCAACCCAATTAACTCGGGGGGGGGGGG